CAATTGAAAGTTGACAAGGAAACTTTACCGGTTTTCCATTTCGTAGTCGAACAGGTTGTTTGTCGAGTAATTGTAAGTAAATTATTTTTCTATGCGGACATCTTTTCTTTTTTTAAATTTCTTTAAATGAAACAGTAATTTTTGACTTAATTGACGAGTATTAGTGTGTCTTTTTGTTGAGTTGCATTTTTTAAGATGGGTATTTTGGAGTCTTATCAATTAAACATTTTTGTAGTTGTTTTGGGATCAGAAGGATTGCAAAATTCGGATGTGAAAAAAAGGGAGGAACGAGAGCAGAATAGAGGTTATGTAAGTGTAATATAAAACTGCTCTACTTTTTTGATAATTTACTGGGGAGAACATTGGAAGTGCAGAATTTTTTGTTTTCCTGCAGAATTGAGATGTGTTAACATGTGGTTGTGGTCTAGTAGTCAAAGTCCTCGGAGGACGGTCAATCCGCAGTAACAACGTTGTAAGTTTCTTTTCTTTGTGTCTAGCGGTTAGGAACTATTTTGATCGGTTTAGTATATATTTGAGTATTTCTATCATTTTTTAATTTGGAATATTTTTCCATTTCCTCCCGTTATTATTTCTGGTGGCGTTTGCTGTCTATTGTTTACCCGTCTAAAGTTTTTTTATATTAATGAGCTTTCCATTTCCAGCTGTTTCTAGCAAATATTTCTATAATGCGCCGCTGAAATACAGATTATATTTATGTAACGTTTTTGGTTCAAACGATCGTTGTGACGCTGGAGTTTTTGCTTTTCCTGACGGTTCCTTAAGAATGTCGAAAAGTCGTTATTTTAATACTGAAATTAGCAGGACCAACCTTTTTCGTCAATATTAGTATAAGGCGTAACTGCCTGTTGCCAGAGTGAAGAAAATGCCTTTAAAACAGGAAGAGCACACGGTATTTCCAGGAGGGAGATTGGGAAAAGTTCCAATTCTCAGCCAATTATGAGATAAAGGTTTGGAAGCGTTTTCTCCGACAACTGTTATAATAGTAGCATTGCTACGGACGTCCTTATTTTGATGCCTCTTTCAAGAGGAGAACTACACACTCGTTTAGAGACAGGGCTACAAAAGTTTTTCTTTTCAATAAAATTTCTGCGCTTAACTGATTCTTGCGTTTACTTTTTGCAAAACCTGTCAGTATTCCTCAAAAGAAGAAAAAATGACAAAG